GACGTCACACTCACAGTGGTCGATACGTTTTCCAGAATCCTTATTTTTGCTTGAAGATTTGATTTTTATCTTTGGCAACAAGCCCTGGCGGTTGTTTTTTTTTTTTTTTTCCTGGAGGTGACTCACTTAGTTAATTTTTTGAGAAAATGTATGTCAGGTATTCAAGTCTGAATGCGTACAACTGTTGTTCTTTTTCTGTTTTTGAAGGTTTTATTTATTTATTCATGAGAGACACACAGAGAGAGAGAGGCAGAGACACAGGCAGAGGGAGAAGCAGGGTCCCTGTGGGGAGCCCGACGTGGGACTCGATCCTGGGGCCCTGGGGTCATGCCCTGAGCCGAAGGCAGGTGCTAAACCGCTGAGCCACCCGCCCCCCCCCCCCGTACAGCTGTTGTTGTTTCACACGAGAATGAATTCACAAAAAAAGCGGTTTGTTCAGCTCACAACTCAATTGCACGGGTGTTTTCTGTGTCCTCCCCACTTAGACGGCGTAGGAGAAAGAGACGTTCTTGGAGGCCCGGATTAATGAAGTCAGTAGTTTTCACTGTTTTCAGGGACATTCTGAAGTGGAACTGGCCTTGTCTCCTGCCAAGTGCCTGTGCCGTTACACTGGACCCGCTGGGTGGGGGGCCAGCCCGCTGACCCATGTTGCACCATCGGTCCCAGCGCCCACACGGCGGAAAAGGAGGTTGATGTCCTCGGTTTACGAAAACAGGTGTGAGCATGCGGGCCCTCCTGCGGGGACCCCGAGAGTGGGCAGTGCTCCCCTGGATGGAAGCGGAGGGAGCCGAGGAGGCCCAGATGCCGCAGGACCACCAGTTAGGGTTAAACAGGGAGAGGAGGCTACTGGGACGGGCTTTTTGTTTTGTTTTTGAGCGCTTTAGCATCAGGTTATATGAAAATAAAGCTGGCTGGGTTTATACTTAACTAATTGTGAAATAAAGACGAGCACGTCGCTGCTTTTCTCATGAGTAATGTTTAGGGAATGAAGTGCTTTGCTGTACCAAACCTGCGGCACTATTTGATTTAGACGGTATTATTTTCAGCAGGAAAAAGAACAAACGTTTATTAGGCATTTATTGTGACCTGAATGCCATGCCAGTCACTTTTCATATAATGTAATCCTTACAATAGGCTGATAAAAGAGGTTTCACCATTCATATAAATGGGGCGAATGAGGCCCAAAAGGTTAAGTAACTTTCCGAGGGATGTGACTCAACTCTGATTCGGTAACATTTCCCATTGTCACCTATTATCTCAAGGCGTCTGGGGAAAGTCTGAAAACAAAATTAACAACCACAACCCCACATATACCCATATGACCACGCAACTTCTAAAATACGGCACGGAACATGGTCACAAACCCAAATAAATAAATTAGAGCTCGAGAGAGAGAGAGACTGCATATTTGGGATTTTTTGTTCCCTTCAAGAACTATTTTAAATAATATGGAAAGCTGATTACTAATGGAACATTGGCTGGCAGGTATTTTTTTTAAGAATGCACCTGCAGGGCCCCGGCTGCCTGGGTTGGTAGGTCGTGCGGCTGCGGAGCCCCATGTCGGGCACGGAAGTTCCTTAAAGATAAAATTTTAACAAACAAACAAACAAACAAAACAAAACGTAACAATGGAGAAAAGTCAGGAGTTGAAAGTCACTGCTAAGCTCGTCACGGTCCTTATTGGATACAAACCCCTTTTTTACTCCGTATTTTAAAATATTGGATCATGGAGAAAAGGAGGGAAGGCAATTCAGAAGCAGAGTCTGATGCCAACTTCTTTGGTCCGAGAGAAAAGAAGGGGTGCCAGGCTTCCCGAATCCCGTCCAGGGCCCGCGTGGGCACCTCCACACCCGCAGGGCTCGCCCTTCTGCACGTGGAGCGGCTCCGTCCAACCCCGCTGGCCCAGCGGCTGCCCGCAGTGTGGCCTTGGCCCGCGTGGCCAGCGTGAGGCCAGCAGTGCGCACACACCTGGGGGCAGCGGTGGAGCCCTCGCGTGACCCGGGGCCCAGAGGCCGTGAGGCCGGGGCCACCCCCCCGCTGGCAGACCGCTGCCCTCCCTCCTGGGATCCCCGCGCTCCCATCAGGGGTCTGACCCCCACGGATGCTGGACTCTCCTCCCCCTGCACGTCCGGGGGCCTCAAGGGATCCTGTGCCAGTGGACATCGCAGCTGCTCAGGGCCCGCGTGTCGGTGGTTGGAAGGCATTTGGGAACAAGAAAGGATCACCAAGGCTTCAAGATGAAGAAGAATGATGAAAATTGTGGTCCTGCTAATAGGACTTTTGTTGGTGACACGTCTGAGAAAGCTCCAGACATGCTCGTAAGACAACTGGCTGCTAAGTGCGCCTTGGCCTTGAGCTGGGGGTACAGGGGCATGCGGGCAGCTTCAGCCTTCGGATTTGGGAGCTCACGGAGCCGGAATCGCCCCCTTTGCATCCAGGTTATGGCGCGGCCTGCAGACGGGAGCGTAGAAGCTGCTTGTTAGAGCTGATGCCAGGACGAAGGTGCACTGGTGAATGGGAAGCAAAGCAGCTTCTGGAGGGAAGGCTGGGCCACACTGTCGGCAACGACAAGCACCTCCCGTGGGGAGACTGAAAGATCAGATGGTCAAAGGGCCTTTGACGTTTGAATACATGCATCTCCGGGGACCTCGGTGCCTGCTCACAAGAGTCTGACTCTCATCCCGGGAGGAGAAAAGAGAAGGAGGAAGTTTCCAGACACTTCTCCAGGCCTCACTAACCAAGTACCCATTTACCAAGGAGGACGATAGAAGTGGTAGGAATGGGAGAAAACCAGAGAGACCTGATATCCCAAGAAATCAGCGCATTCAGAGACACACACAAGAAACTGGGGGACAGGCACAGAGGAAGTGGAAAAGGAAGTCGATAAAGGACAGAGAGGAAGAGGGAAGGGATGTGAACGGGAGCGGGAAGGGCAACGGGCCAGGGCCAGCGACTGAACTCAGGTCGGAATAAGGATGGCAGTGGATGGAGGGCGAAGAGCAGAGATGGTGAGAGGGAACCGCGGGGGGGGGGGGCAAGGAGCAGGGCTGAAGGACGATGAAGAAGATGCAGATGATCGAAGAAAACGCGAACAAAGACTCTTAAAGAAGGGAGCTTCTTCCTAAGAGCAGGGAACTGGGAACACAGAGACCGGAAGGAAGCCTGGGAGTAAAGAGGGAGGCTCGAAGAGAAGAAAGAAGATAAATGGCCAAAGGAGCTCACGACTGAAAGACCGAGAAGGGGACGAGCTACAGGAGGCCGGGGAGTGCCTCGTGGATGCAGACGCGGATGTGGACGCGCAGCTCCGGGGCCTGGAGCAAGAGGCTGAGCCATGTGGACAAGGACCCGGAGAGCAAGAACCAGAGCCAGAGGATGAGGAAGAAGGAAAGCATGGACACGAAGAGGAGGAGGAGGAGGCCTGGAGGAAGCACGGAGAGGAGCCCAGCTCGCCCGGCTCTGGGCCATTGGGCCTGGGGAGGAGGCTTCCGGGGAGGAGGCTGCTGGGGGAGGGGGCTGCTGAGGGAGGAGGCTGCTGGGGGAGGAGGCTGCTGGGGAGGAGGCTCCTGGGGTAGGAGGCTCCTGGGGGAGGAGGCTTCCGGGGAGGAGGCTCCCAGGGAGGAGGCTCTTGGGGAGGAGACTCCCCGGGAGAAGGCTGCTGGGGGAGGAGGCTCCCAGGGAGGAGGCTCCTGGGGCAGGAGGCTGCTGGGGGAGGAGGCTGCTGGGGAGGAGGCTCGGGGATGCTACTCCTCGGAGGACCCCGCAGGCCAGCCCGGCATCAGCCTTCACCGGGAGCACAGGCCAGCAGAGCGCCGCGGCCACTGGGTGCTGCCTGCGGTCCTGGTCGCCAGACTCCCCGCTGGCCATGCTGTGCACCGACGATCTGAGGACGAGGACGGGGACGGTGGGGCGATTGGCTCTCCTGGGTGCTGTGAGGGTGACGGGAGCTGAGGGGAGGCAGGGGCGCACTCAGGGTCCCGTGGAGAAAAAGGCCAAGCCCGAGCTCCCCTCGGCTCCCTGGTTGGTCTACGGTGCATTGTCTGCTGACGCAGGGACGGCTGCATACCAAGGTGACAGGGCACACTACTGTACGTGTCGCCACGGTGCTCGGGAGAGCGGTGGCGGTGGTGGCAGCGGCGAGCACCCAGGGCCGCAGGCTACGGGACAAGAGACAGAAGGAAACTGGTCCTGTGGAGGAAAACCGTCGGCCAGAAGAACAACGCCAAAGCCCTCTTACACACGTGTGTACGCACACGCAGACTCCTGGCAGGCTCTCCTCCCCGATGGGAGTAAATACCCTCTCTGCTTACCCGATGGTCTGAGACTCTTCTATTGACATTTTTAGCAGAAATTACCAAAATTAGTCCAAATGAATCCCTACTTGAATATTTTACCATCAAGTGAAAAAAAGTGGATAACAGAAGAAAACTATTTATTGTTTACTCACTTCTAGGCAGGACAAGTGTCTCAGAGTATAATGCAGTTCAGAGAAAGCAGCTACCTCGCTTGACGAAGAACAGGTCATTGCTAAGGGAGAAAATTATCACAGATATTGAGAACAAACACGCAAAACCTCTTAAAAGTTTTATGCTCTGCATTTGAGAATTCCAGTTCATCAGAGACCGTAACCTTCTGCTCTCTTCCTAAGATAGCTGCGTTTTGGCTTAAATTACAACTGGTAATAATTTACCCATTTGCATAGAGACATAATATTCTTTCTACATTCTAGGTTAGAAAGTGTACAGCGAAATGGAAAAGCTTATAAATTGCCGACAAAAACGTGAACCCACGTGTACACTTCTGGCCTTGGGGAATTGGGTCGCGGGACGCCAAACGTGAGCAGCGTACGCGACGTGTAGGGTGGTTATGCAATGGTAAAAGAGAAGAGAATATCGCCAAATTGACGGTTTGGTAAATTCGCTCATTTGGATAAAAGGAAAACATCGTTGTGACGAAGGGTTCCTCCATCAAATCACTTCGCTTCTCATAAAATTACACGGAGGTAAAATCTTGGAGAGGAAAACATTTTTATTCAAAGGTAAAAATGTGTACCTGGCGTCAGTACAGAAACCTAAGCGTGTGCCAGCAAGGGGCCACGGCGCTGCTGCCGGGCTGGGCTGCCGAGAGCCGGCGCACAGGTGAGCAGGTGCGCCTCGGTCAGGAGACGGGTTTAGGGGCTCAGCCTCGTCGTGCCAGTGGGGGGGACTGGACGGGGTGGGCACAGGACTAAGCGATCCCGCCCTGGCTCTGGGTACCCCCTGGGCCACGGCGTGGGCCCCACATTAGAGCTTCCCCTCGCACGCGGGCAGGACGCGGGCAGGAGGGAGGCTCGGAGGGCTGGGAAGCCCCGAGTTACCAGGGACCTGGTGACGTCCAGGTAACTGACTTCCTCGCGCCACTACCGTCGAGCCCCTCCAGGCTCAGCGCCGTCGAGGAGCAGCACGACACGCTCCCTGCCCGTCGCCCTCCGCTCTGTCTCCTCACGGCTCCTCTACCAGTACGTCGGGCAACAGGCCGCCTGCGGAGAGAGATTACTCGCTGTTCGCTTGGTGGAATGGTGGGCACCAAAGGCGAGAAAAGCACTTGGGGGAAAAAATCCAGTAAGGATTTATTCATGTTCAGATTTTTTTCCTTGTGGTTTTAGGGACATCGAAAAAAGTTTTTTGCATGTAAGTGAATATTTACTAAAATAGCAGACTATTGATATAGGCATGAACCCAAGGAGAAGAGAGAAGCTAAAACTAAGTACACGCTCATCACCTGTGCACAGTGTCACTTGGAGTTAGGGAGGCGGGGCGAGATGCGGACACCCACCCACCTGCAGCCCCAGTGGCCGCTCATCATGGTGACGCCCGCCTGAGTTCGATCTTTGGCTGGAGGAGACGATGTTCACAGCCCCTCACGGGTCTCGCTGCCCGGCTCCGGGCTCTACCCTCTCCGAGGGCTGGAGGTGAAGGTCGGTGGCCCAGTGTGTCAGCGGGCGCTGCTCCTGCACCTGCTGACCGGTGGCCGCTACGTATCGGTGTGAAGCGTGGAAGGAATGTCCCACGTAAGAGGAGACGGGCCGGCCGGGCGTGTGACGCCTTGCGTCCTTCCTTCCTAAGTAAAATGGCCCCGCGGCAAAAACAAGGAATTCAAAGCGTGAAAGCACGTGGTCTCCCCGTCCACCTGGTCTTTGGGAATCCATCGTGTGGAGTCATGAGGGGGATTTCCGGCCCGTCTCCAGGGGCGCGCTACTGCCGTGCACCTCGCCCCACGGGAGCAGGACCGCCGGGAGGAGGACAGCCGGGAGCAGGACAGCCGGGAGCAGGACAGCCAGGAGGACAGCCGGGAGCAGGACAGCCGGGAGCAGGACAGCCGGGAGGAGGACAGCCGGGAGCAGGACAGCCGGGAGGAGGACAGCCGGGAGCAGGACAGCCGGGAGGAGGACAGCCGGGAGCAGGACAGCCGGGAGGAGGACAACCGGGAGCAGGACAGCCGGGAGCAGGACAGCCAGGAGCAGGACAGCCAGGAGGACAGCCGGGAGCAGGACAGCCGGGAGCAGGACAGCCGGGAGCAGGACAGCCGGGAGGAGGACAGCCGGGAGCAGGACAGCCGGGAGGAGGACAACCGGGAGCAGGACAGCCGGGAGCAGGACAGCCAGGAGCAGGAAAGCCAGGAGGACAGCCGGGAGCAGGACAGCCGGGAGGAGGACAGCCGGGAGCAGGACAGCCGGGAGGAGGACAGCCGGGAGGAGGACAGCCGGGAGCAGGACAGCCGGGAGGAGGACAGCCGGGAGGACAGCCGGGAGCAGGACAGCCGGGAGGAGGACAGCCGGGAGGAGGACAGCCGGGAGCAGGACAGCCGGGAGGAGGACAGCCGGGAGGACAGCCGGGAGCAGGACAGCTGGGAGCAGGACAGCCGGGAGGACAGCCGGGAGGAGGACAGCCGGGAGGACAGCCGGGAGGAGGACAGCCGGGAGGAGGACAGCCAGGAGCAGGACAGCCGGGAGGACAGCCGGGAGGAGGACAGCCGGGAGGAGGACAGCCGGGAGCAGGACAGCCGGGAGGAGGACAGCAGGGAGCAGGACAGCCGGGAGCAGGACAGCAGGGAGCAGGACAGCCGGGAGCAGGACAGCCGGGAGGACAGCCAGGAGGAGGACAGCCGGGAGCAGGACAGCCGGGAGCAGGACAGCCAGGAGGACAGCCGGGAGCAGGACAGCCGGGAGGAGGACAGCAGGGAGCAGGACAGCCGGGAGCAGGACAGCCGGGAGGACAGCCAGGAGGAGGACAGCCGGGAGCAGGACAGCCGGGAGCAGGACAGCCAGGAGGACAGCCAGGAGCAGGACAGCCGGGAGGAGGACAGCCGGGAGCAGGACAGCCGGGAGGACAGCCGGGAGCAGGACAGCCGGGAGGACAGCCGGGAGCAGGACCGCCGGGAGCAGGACAGCCAGGAGGACAGCCGGGAGCAGGACAGCCGGGAGGAGGACAGCCGGGAGCAGGACAGCCAGGAGGACAGCCGGGAGCAGGACAGCCGGGAGGACAGCCGGGAGCAGGACAGCCGGGCGCCCGGCTCCGCGCCCTTAGTGCCTGCCGCACACCCAGCGGAGCTGAGGATCGGCCTGCAGGGCAGTCAGGGCTTCGGCGGTCCTCCAGCTACACTGGCAGGCATAGGCCCGGGCTCCTGGCTTCTTTACCAGCTTCGTTCTTAATTTCTGGAACTCCGGCATGTTGTTCCTAGTGATAAAGAATGGAAACTTTAGCACATTTGCTCTGGCTCTGGCTGTGCTCATTTAGTTCTGGCTTTGCTCAGAGCTGAAGGACTTAAAAAAAAAAAACAAAGTTCTCACTGCTTTGTTTTCCTGTCTTGACAACAGCTGAGCACTACACAACCTCGTCCTCGCACCCGACACCAGGGGACGGGCTTCCGTGTTCTTCCCGATGCTGTTTCCTTGGGGTCCAGCACTTCCGTGTGGCCGTCCTCTGGGCCTGTTTATTAAAGCTGCTGCCACAGCACAACGGACTAAAAGGCTGCGTGAAGAACTATGGGGTGGTCCTACAGAGATGATACGAGAGGACCGGCAGGGATGCTGGTTCATCTCCCACCTCAGATCCTCACCTCACCTTATTCTAAAAGCCTGCAATACGGCCAGTGAGGGGCAGATAAGAGCATAAAGATAGGGCACCCCGGGGGGCTCAGCGGTTGAGCGTCTGTCCCCGGCCCAGGGCGTGACCCCGGTGACCCGGGATCAAGTCCCACGTCGGGCTCCCTGCATGGAGCCTGCTTCTCCCTCTGCCTGGGTCTCTGCCTCTACCGCCCCCCTCTCTCTCTGTGTCTCTCATGGGTAAATAAATAAAATCTTAAAAAAAGAGAGAGAGAGAATAGAGACAACAGGCTTCTGATGCATTACCTGTAGCAATTCTTCACTTCTAGATAAAAAGTACCTGTTGCTTCTATTTGTTGAACTGATGCTGTATCTTTCACTCGTTTCAATGATAGACTTATTTACCAGCCAGATATACTATTAGCCACAGAATAAATGTCGATCCTGCCTTAAACGTCAATAATGTGAAGATAATTAAATGAGTGGGCAGGAACAGCATCATAAAAAATGAGAACCATCAGACCTGATGCTACTGTAACAAAGACTACAGGGGTCCATTCAAGTTTCACAAACTGAAATTCATGATTTTCACGATAATCCATGTACTGGATTTACGCAACTGTTCCAGGACAGAAGAAAAGGGGAAAATTCAAAGTGAAATGATGAAAAAACACAAAGCAAAATGATGAAATAAAGTATGCATATTAAAAAGAGACCCAAAGTGCTGTTACTTTTGAGGTCACTGCGACAGGAGGCAGGCTACAAGGTGCCCTCTGGTGGCCACTGGGCACCACACTCCGTGCTGTACAGAATCCAGGCATAATTTAGGTTTTGAACCTAACAAAAACTAAGAGATTTTCCAGGGGAACCGTTTGATTTCAGGAAACTGAGACTCTGACCACCTCAGCGTTACAGTAATCTGGGGGGAGAAATGGATAAGCTAAGCTTTATCGGAAAGAAAAATACTCCACAAATGAAAACTAAACCTTCTTTATTCAATCTGCAATATACGGTGACAAGTTTAACACCTGACTGAATCCTTAATTAGAGATTTTATGAGTCGGGGAGTCATGGATAGCCAGAAAACCGATTAATGCACTTCAAATGTTTTTTAGGAAGCATGTATCTTAAAAGCTTAGAAAAATAATTTCCCATTAAGAAAATGATTTAGTAGGAAAAATAAAAGCATTTTATTTAGCTATTTTTGCAGGATGATCAAGTTACAGCTTATACTACTTTTTGAAAATTGCAGAACTTATCAAAGCTAGGATACGCATTTCTAAGGACGAGCCAATGCGCGGACCGACACCACTAAAAATAAATACCCCCCCCCCCCCGTCTGCCTTTTATCTTGCCTTCTTTGGTGACCACCCACTTGTGCTTTCCTTAGCTAGCACCACCCCTCACCCTCCTCAAGGGCTTCATCTTCTCTCTGCTCCTTCCTTTCAGCCCATCGCATCCTCATTCACACAGCTGGGCCACTGGATGTGAAAATCTTCCACTTCCTAGCCCCCCCCCCAACACCTCACTCTTTTCCCTCCCTCCACCCAGGCACAGAGGGCTCAGCACAGCACTGATGTGATATGCACCTATTATTCTATGCTCGTGGTATAAAAATTGATGGTTCCCACTGGTGACACGGGGGGATTACTGACCACTCATTACATTAACCAGAAGTTAGGACAGAAAGACGATGGAGAGGAGTCAGAAATGGCAAAACAGACATGAAATCAAAAGCTAACCTTTCCAACTCTGGGATTAAATATAGGCTAACCTGACCTGAGTGTTTGGGACTGCATTAGGCTTCATTTGGGCTGGGAAATGTGAAACCTCGCAAGCTGTAATTTTTCCATGAATTTGTATATTTGAATTTTTCTGTATGTGTGGGAGAGGTCTCAAAGTTTTCACGGGATTTTTCAAAGTGGTTTGATATGAAAGAGTTTTAAAAAACGATTCATGAAGTGGAGACTCCTGTGGATTTACAAGAGAACGGCTGCCAGATGAGGTGTGGAACACAGACTCTCACCTTTTTCTTTATGCTTCTAGAGAGAGATGCATATTCTGGTTGCTTGTATTAGAAAATATAATTCTTGTTTAGGCCTAGGTCTGGGCAATGGGGGGGGGGTTAAAAATGCATGATATATACACTTCATTAATTTTTAGCTCTTCATTTTTATTTGAAAATGTGAAGCATGATTTATAGCCTATTTTTACTTGTTTATTTACTTATGTATTTGTTTGTTTTTTAAGTAGGCTCCACGCCCAGCACAGAGCCCAACGCAGGGCTTGAACTCATGACTTCGAGATCAAGACCTGAGCCGAAATTAAGAGTCGGATGCTTAATTGACTGAGCCATCCAGGTGCCCCATATAATGTACAATTCAGATTCATTTTTAAAACTTACAACATCTTAAAATTGGGTATGGAGTGAGTGTATAAGAATGTATAAACTGCAAAAATACCAGTAAGACACTATCCTGGGGATCCCTGGGTGGCTCAGTGGCTTAGCGCCTGCCTTTGGCCCAGAGCGCGATCCTGGAGTCCTGGGATCGAGTCCCGCGTGGGCTCCCTGCATGGAGCCTGCTTCTCCCTCTGCCTGTGTCTCTGCCTCTCTCTCTCTCTCTCTATGTCTATCATAAATAAATAAAAATAAATCTTAAAAAAAAAAGACATTATCCTGACCACAAGGAGGGAGGCAGACACATACCAACCCGAGATTTTCAATCTTGGATTCCAGTGAGTGCTAGAAGCGGTACAAAGTGCCCTGGACACATATGATGAATTCACTCCCAAGTTGACAGAGTGGCGAGGGGATCATGGAAGATGTGCAGTGAACTGTACACCCTGAGGGACAGGCCAGGTCTTAGGTTACGAAAGGGTGGGGTGGTGGGAAGGTGTCCTTTCCCAGTGCAAGGGAAGAGCTTGCACCGTCACAGGGAGTGGCAGTACTGGGTACTCTGATGCAGCTGGACTCTTGTGAAGGTGAAAAGTAAACCGTGCAAGGACAAGCTGGGTCACAGACAGATGGGGGCTGGACGGTGGAGGGTCCTGGATGCTGTCCTAAGGAACCCGGACACGATTCTGTAAGGGGAAGAATTTAGGGTGAGAGCATGGCACGCTCAGGGTTATGCATTTGTTCTCAGCAAGAGAAGGGTGGCCTGAAAGAAGTGACTGTAGGCAGAAGAACCGTGAGAAGGCTGTCACGATACTCCCGTCTGGAAGTCACCCCCCTACACACACCGAGGCTGACAGCAGACAGATGGAGAGGAGGAGATGAGGGAGGTATGCAGGTGGGGGCCATCGTCCTGCCAAGCCCGTCGAGAGATGGTATAGCAAAATACAAAGTGTACGCGGTACGTTTTTTCCACGGGGTGAAGTTCTTTGTACACATACCTGAAAAACAGATAATCGCATGACTGGTCCCACATACAGTCGTCGTAGCTGACTACCCTGAAATCACACGCTACACAGCGCAGGCGGTCACAGGCTCTGTTCAGAGAAAAAGAACAGTATGTTAAAGATTAGTAGCTGTCTAAATATGAAAATATGAAATTATTCATAGGATACACCCCATACTACAGATTACCGAGTAAACAACAGAGCAGTAAACATTAATGTTTTATGAAAGGACGGATTATGCATCTTTCAGGTAAAAGTCCTCAGGTTAAATTTCTGTGCAAAGCTATTTTACTAAGCTCTAAGCTCTCACGCACCGATATATTTGTTATATATATTTTATGTACATTTTCTATACATGCATGTGCGCACCTGCACATTGTACAGATACAGAACAAAAGGGATGTGCACATCTTTTAGTTCAATGGTTTTCAAATTGGGTCTGAGGGAGATCTCCACTTAAGGCACTTAAATTGCTTCCCTTCCTACTGAAATTTTCAGGGGTGCCTCTATCACATAGAGAGAGAGAGAGAGAAAGTGGGTGCGTGAGTGAGTGAGCATGCGCCTGCACATATGCACACGTAGACGGGGAGGGGGGCAGAAAAATCTTCGAGCAGACTCCCCACTGAGCACCAAGCCTGATGTGGGGCTCTGTTGCACGACCCATGAGATCTTGACCTGAGCTGAAACCAAGAGTCAGATGCTGAACCGACAGAGCCACTCAGGCCCTTCGATAAGAGGTTTTAACATACCAAAAACAAAGCGAAAAGACCAGTGACACAGTGGGAGAAAATGTTTTCAACACACAGTCAAATACTCATACTATACACCAGGAGTGCTTACAAATGATAACAAAACTTAAAATATATTCCATTGCTCTAATACAGGCATCACGGAATAGCCGTTAAGAGCACAGACTGTGCAGACCGACTGCCTAGGTTCAAATGTGATTCCACTATTTACTAGCTGTGTAACTATAGTCAGGTAACCGCTTTGTGACTCAGTTTCCCCATCTGTAAAATGGGAGGGAATAATAATACCTATATGCCTCATAGAATTGTTCTGAGGATCTGCTGAGTTGACATTGGTAAGGTGCTTATAACCGTGCCTGCCACACTGGTTGTTAAATGGTTAAAATATAACACAATGAAAATTTAAAGCAACCACAAAATAAATGTTTTAACCAATTAGGTCAACAAAAATTAGCACTCTCAGACATTCCTGGTGGCTATGTGAATTCCTATAACCTTTCGGGAAAAACCTTAGGTTAGCACTATTTTGAAATTAAAATAATCCCTAGCTGTTGCTCCAGCAACCCCATTTTTTTTTGGAACCTATTACATATAAATAAAAACATCAGTCTAGAAGCCTTTATCTCAAGAATTTTTACTGCACTGCAGAATTGCTGAAGTGGCAAAAAAACCAGGATATCACTTGGATACCTATTAAAAAGGGAAAAGGCTGAATAACATGCAGTCTATTTATACTACGGATTATTAGACAGCTGGTAAAGAGAATTAGATTCATCTAGTGACTTAGAGGGATGTCCGAAGCAAGGTACCCAGCCAGCATATACAGCATAAACCTATTTTTGTAAAAACAACCAAAAAAATTTCCTGTGTAGGTGTTTGTATGTTTGTAAGAACATGGAGGCAAATGTGGAAGGTTATATACTATGCAGTCAACACTGGCTACCTCAGGGGTAGTGGGAAAGGAGAAGAGAAAAGATTATTATCTTTCTCTTTATACATTCTCAAATTTAATTTTTAAGAAATAAGCACTCAATTCTTCAATAAAAACATAACTAAAACACCCCATCATGAGAACTTTTTTACCTATTTCCCTCTAACATTCAGATACGGTTAACTTCAAAATCGCAATTATTTTTTGGCCTGAAGATTTCTTTGAAAATAGATGCTTTTTGTTTTAAAAATCATTATTAAAAATAACTAAACACTCAAAATCTATACAAGTCTCATAAACAACTCCATATTTTCCCTCAGACTCAGCAATTTATAGAGTTGTATTTGTACATATGGAAATCCAACACAATTACATTTGTACACATTTGAACTTGGATTTTGAATGCACGACTCAGGAAATGCAAAATGATGGTTCCCAAAGCTGCTGTAACTTGCTTTCTTATGCATATGTAGTTTATTACATGATCGCACAGAGTGTTAACTTTAATGCCTTAATACATATGTGCAATTTGGCTAAATTACTGCTGGTGTGGGAACTATAATTTCGAATTTCCTGATGTTTGGTATGTGTAAAATCTCAACCATAATGTTAAATACAGCTTTTTAATTTAATTTAAAATTTAGTAGTTTATTCAAATCTAGTCACACTACTACATTTTCCTACAAACACTGCCCTGTGAGAAAAATAAAACTAACTTGCAGCTAAGAAATCATTCTGCTGCTACGATTCACTCTATTAGACCATAATTAGTAGCAGTGCGTGGAATAATCCAGTCTTACGAGTAGTTCAAAAAACAGCAGAGTAAAATTCGATATGGCTTGAAAGTAACGCCTTGATTTTATCTATACCTTATTAATGCCACCACGCTTCCTGCTACTACTACCCACTCTCCTTCCCCCCAACTGCGTAAAGGACTCAAGTCCTCACACCCTAAAATCGTTCAGCAGTACTCCCAAACCAGAGCTTTATCTAGAAATCAAACAAATAAAACACATAGAAAATAGGCAGAACAGACTCCATTTCCTTTATGCCCTGGGCATGGAAGTCAGTGCTCATAGTCAGGGCTTAACTATATTTCTCTCCCGTACCTACCTAACAAGAGGATATCTAAAAAAGGGCACGATTCTAGTGAAAGGGAAGTTGTCAGGATTCTTCCAAAATGTGGAGGCAGAGCAAATACGAGGGTGGCACCAACAGCGTTGTCCTTTTGTCCAGTTAATACACACAATCTTTACCATTTTTAAGGTGTTCATGATGGGAATGCCCCCAATAGTCTGGGGTCTCCGTCAACTCCTGTCCGGTCTACACAGTGGTCTAAGAAGCCTTGCCGTGTGGACAGCTGGGAAAAACAGCAGCCACGACAGCAGAACAGCAGAAACAGCTGAGCTTCTCCCCTCCTGCAAACACCACGCGGCCCTGTTAACTGGTATCCTAGGAAGGACGGGGGCCAGGGACAAGCTGCCCATTTGAGACCTAGGTTTGAGATAATTTACGCGACCTCAGGAAGGCACATTACTTGGAACACTCTCTTTTAGTTCCCGTAGCCATTTAAACCCATTTAAAGCCCTTCTAGATTCTAAATGGTGCAAACATGACACGTTTTCCCTACGGCCACTGTCACTACTCAGGTCCCAGCTACCGTCGCGGTCTCTTTGCTGGAGCACTCTAACTACTGCCTGCTGACTCCTCTCCTGTCTTGCCCCTCCAAATTCCAATCCATTTTCCATTCAGCAGCCAAAGTGACTTTTCTCAGAAACACATACAGGATTGCTATCCCAACTGCCAAAAACACCCCCCCCCCCCGCCTCAAACAACCAATGGCTTCCTCTGCATATGACATACTTTTTCTGAAGTCCTCCAGAGGACTACAGGACCCCAAACGAAATGTCCCTCAACTACCTCTGCAGCCCCATCAAGAGCCATTCTTCCCCCCACTGGCTCTTCTCCAGTTCACCTGGCTGCCCTCTGCTACTCCAGCTCAGGGATCATCCAACACTGCGTGCCCCCTGGCTCTCATGATTTCCCCTCTTTGCTATTCATTTTTCATCCTGCAGTCTGATGAAATGTTCTTTGCTTGGGAAAGCATTCCCTAATCCTTCATATTCGGGCCGGGTGTGTGTGTGTGTGTGTGTGTGTGTGTGCTAATTATCTGTGCTTATCGTACCCTGCACTTTCCCTTCACATTATGTATGATGTAGGACCCAGCAAGCAGGTGGTTAATTAATATGTGTTCAATGAATTTAACACCAGTGTCTCGATTTCCTCATTTCTAAAATGGGGTTAAAAAGTCTTGCTCTATTTGCTTCGTTTTTTTTTTCCTGTGGAGCTGAACTAATAAGCATATATAAAAATGTGCTCCAGACAGCAGAAAGTATTTCACACATAAAATGTTTTATGTGCACGTGAACTGGTATATGCTTCTCTTTCTGTGGGTGCAGATCTGTGTTAGGAAGAGGTTGGATGATGAGGGTATCTTTGTCATGGTGAGGGAGAAGAGACCCGTGAATATACACATTTACCTATGTATACATGTGCAAACAGTACGTGTTTTGTCGTCCTGTAGCTGTGCACAAAGCAGGAAGGGGTTTGATGGATCAAATTGGCAAATACTCATGGATCAGTATTATGTGCTAGGATCTTATAAAATAGGCCATTATGTTGTCGACTTAATTTCCATCTGGAGTGAGATGCTTCTATGCTAGAACCCATTCAAAGTACATGTAAGAAGGTACTATATAAAAGAAAATCTTCATGAAATATTTACTCTTTGAAAGTCAACCAGAATGGACCACCTTAGAGGCCATTTTTTATCTTTTTAATTTTTGAGAGAGGGACTGAGAGAGAGAGAGTGTGCCTGTGTGTGGGGCGGGGCAGAGGGAGGAGAGCTCTTAAGCAGGCTCCATGCTGGGCAAGGATGCCCAACACAGGCCTCGATCGGTCTCGATCGGTCTCACCGACCCTGAGATCATGACCTGAGCCAAACCAAGAGTTGGACGCTTAACGGACGGAGCCACCCAGGCGCCCCGAGAGAGACAGAATCAATTTCTGTGAAGAATCAATACCTCTGTGAAGTATTTGTTCCAATGCCACAAGGGGCAGTGCTCCCACCAAGGTACACTGGGCTGCAACTAGACAGTTCAGCAGACGGAAGGAAAAAAAAAATACGACAAAAAAAAAATATGAGAAGTTAATTTGACCTCGTTGACTCTATATTCTTATAATCAAACTGTATATTTTTCCAAGCAGGCCAATTATTTCAGAGGAGAGCCATTTACTCCAGGATCACTGCATTATTGGATATAACCTGTACATTCAGAACACTCAAGAAGTTAACATGAGTCACAGAAAAACGTGTTTGCCAAATAATACAAGGGACAAACTAAACACTGAAGAATATAACAGAACGTTAATTCTAAGAAACTGTTCACACTTTTTTTTTTTTCATGGCAGAAAATTATTTACAATAGCAATAATCTTCCATTCAAGTTCTACACTAAGGGATCACAGGCCTTAAGGACAGGGAAGATACTGCTATCGGTCTTTCTCCTGAAAGCCAGCCAGTGCTTTGTTGTTCAACGTCACTGTTGTTTAAACACTAAATTTACTAGACTTTGCTTAGCGTTTGCTCACTAGCGTGTGTGATTCACTAAAGCAATCTCAACTTACCTCTTACCAAGACTTTGAGTGGAAGCTCTGACAGATGGGTTACATGAAGATTTAGATTTTAATTTCTGTTAAAAAAACAAAACAAAACAAAACAATAAAAGGCCAAGGGTAACTTATGGAGAATTCTAACATGAAAATATTCTTTATTTTATAATGAGAGTATTTTGCAAATGGCTTCAATAAAAATTTTGTATGATTTTAAAGTTTCTGAAATAAAAGAAACAGTGATCAAGACCTTTTAAAGGCAAAAGGGAAGTAGACCTCCCCGAGGAATTTATAAATTACTCCGCTAGCTTTTAGTCTAGGGAACTGATATATTGCTGTTATTAGCATGCAAAAATTTAGAGTCACTTTATAACTCTTCAGTTAATACTAAGTCCAGTGATTTAATATGAAGGATCTGCTATTTAAAACTTCATCCTGGAAAAATTCAATTGAGGAGGGGAAAAAAAAAAAAACAACTCAGACTCATTTTTAAAGGCTGTGAAGGGTACTCACCTGAACAAGAAATAAACTAACCAAACTCCTGGGTAACTTCAGGAATATTAATTTTGATCAAATGGAATGGTATCGAGCAATAGACATTCAAGGGAAATTGGAGAACTACCTAGGCGCAAGCATACAGTAGTTCCTATATGGTTACATAACACCATCATCATTAGGAAGCATTTATTAAGTGTTAACTGGTATATGGTACCAAACAACATAAACCAACCGCATACTAGGACCACCGCCAAGGAAAGGAAGGAAGTTGGAGAAAAGGCAATTTAAACTATGCAGAGACATGCCTTCATTTTATCTAGTAGGTGAAGAAATTTAATGGAGGCAAAAATATTTCATTTTACTATTTGCTTAACCTTTTTATTTGATGTTAAACAGACCTGGAAAAATTTTTGGTGCATGTCTGAGAAATAATAACGTGCGTGAGTCTTTTTATTTGGGGAGACACGTTCCATGTACCATCCAGGCTCACACGTGGTGGCAGTTGTTCTGGGGCTTTCAGACACTCAACAGAAGGGGCGAGGCGGGGGGAGGAAGCGGTACTCTCAGAGGCACGATCCCGTCTGGATGGTGGGCACGGACCCCTCTTTTCCTCACCCCGTCTGTGTTTCCCAGACCCGCTCTCCTCCAGAAGTTTATTTGGGTTGTTTTCCCCCTTGCAGTCTGGAGAACGGGATATAATAACTAAAAGAAGGGAGCGCTCAGAACAAGCGCATGGAAGTTTACCTCTTCGTGACTGTACGAATTATTATTTCAAATTAGTGTATCTTAAAGTCAGGGCAGAGAAATTCTTCCCTCTCCTCCAAGTATTCCTCTTCTTCCTTCTCCTCACATACAGACAGACACACCGAATTGTTCAGATGATCCATGAATAACAAGAACGTCTGTGGTCTTTTCTACTCTGAAATCAGCGTTGCTATTCAAGAGCATTTATGATGCATGCTTGCTTGCAGAGTATTCAACAGCCTTATTACTATGTTGACACGTTAATCACCTAGGTCATCATTCAGCTTATTAATTTACCACCTGCTTATGAACTGAAAATGCTAAATTTAGAGAAATAAAGATCTTAAGCTATTAGTCATCTGATTTTTAGTCTGGCTGACAAAAATAAAAGTGGCTCCCACCCGTGTACTTACCACCACCACCGACTAGAGATTTTTAGTCTATCTTGCTTTAATCTGCCCCCTTTAAAAGAACCTCTTTGATATTCTATTTATTTCTTAGATTTTCTTTTTTCTTTGTGGTCTCTGTAACTTCAACTTCCATTTGGTGTCCGGTGAAAATCTCACAAATATATTTTATACCCACCACACTGGTAAAAATTGAAGTATACAGCTTCTCATCCACTGCTGGTGAGAAGAATAGAAATGATATAATCATTTTGGAAAACATTTTGGCAAAGGGTAGAAAAGTTGAAGGTAAGCACACCTTATGACCTAGCAATTCCTTCCTTAGGTTTTTACATCCTAGAGAAAGTCCTGTATGTAGGTAAAAGGTGGAGATATCCGATGCAACACCGTTTTTAAAAGCAACAACTGGAAACAATCTAGATGTCTATCACCAGGGAAGTGGATAAACAAACTGCGGCAGACATCATTTCAAATTGTTTATGATTATACAAGTACAATTAAAATATAAAGGTATCGATGGAAAGGACAGATTACCTCTGGGAAGGAAGGCAGCAGAGTAGGATTTGGAGAGTACTTTTTAATTTTTAAAATGTTTATATTATTATTATTTTTTTATGGAGAGTACTTAAACTAGATCTATAATTTTTATTTCTTTAGAAGAAAAATCCAAATATGACAAGACATTGAGGTATGTTCACTATGGGTGGTAAATATACAGCTGGCTGTTATACTGTTTTATGAGCTTTTTATACAGCTGATATGTACAAAAGCACTTAAAGACATGAAAATGTTAACAATTTACCCACTGGGTCATGGGATAACAGCAATGACACTGCATTTGAGATACTAAACACATTTCTATAATAAAAGCTGTTTTTGGTCTTTTAAAAAAATGTTCTTAGAATATAGAATTAAAGTAACCAACTTTACCCGTGAGCTGTCTTCTCTAAATAGCTTTTTAAATTTTTCATTCTTGCTGAGAAATGAACAGCAAAACATATTAATGAGAGTTTTTTTTTTTAAATTTTTTTTGTTTTATTTATTTATGATAGGCACACAGTGAGAGAGAGAGAGGCAGAGACACAGGCAGAGGGAGAAGCAGGCTCCATACACCGGGAGCCTGACGTGGGATTCGATCCCGGGTCTCCAGGATCGCGCCCTGGGCCAAAGGCAGGCGCTAAACCGCTGCGCCACCCAGGGATCCCTAATGAGAGTTTTTAATATTTTATTTCTTCTACAACTCTTAAGTGGAATAATTGCCTTAAAATAATTGTATTTTTCAGAACTCAAAGGACTACAGATACCTGTGCATGCTATACATTTTCAGATTATTCTAAACATGTCTTGAAATAATGAAAGAATTACTGCACATTTATAATACTTAACTTACAACGGGTTTTTTGTCCAAGTTGGGTTCTTCAAATATTTCATTAATAAGACTGTCAAGATCATCTTCTTTCTCAAATGTTTCTGCTGATCTGAAAAGAAAACAGATGAAGTTTAAGTACAGATAAAGTCAGTATCAGAAGAACTTTTGTTTAGTTTATTTCTACAGTTGCTAACAGAAGGATAAATGTGATGCTAATTATTTTTTTTCCCTCTATGGACATAGTTGAAGATTGTTGAGACAAAGATGTAGTTTATCAGGTAAAAAAATTCACATTCGTACTTTACTATCTTCACACTTAGGACATTTAAAGCTCCGCATTATATTCAAGAGAAAGCTGAGCATGCACTTTTCTAAATTACACCAACCACTTATTTAAAGAATATAAAATATGTACAATTATAAGTAGAACCTGAGAATTATAAACAAAGATAATTTTAATGAGTCTTTCTAATTTTTTCCCTAGAAGTTCCATTGTAAGTTAAATAACCATATCCCTTCGCTACAGGAGCTGAAGGTTATATAATCAAAACGATCACTATATATATATATATATATATATATATATATATATAGAGAGAGAGAGAGAGAGAGAGAGAGAGAGAGAGAGAGAGCGCACTATTCGCTTGACAGAGCATCTCCACTACCTTTCCACCTTGCGCAGGGAAAGCCAGCGCAGGATTACTGGTACAAACTGTTACTGCACAAAACCTCTATTTAACAGCTGACATTTACTGAATACTTACAATATAGATGAAGAAGCAGGGGCTGAGAGTTTCAGAAACTCACTCAAGGTCATACGCCCAGTGGGAGGAGAGGCTTGGAATTGAATCTAGGGCAGCCTGGACACCTAACACTAAACAAGATCAACTCTTTTCAGAGTTTGTATGTCACAGATGCTTCACATCAGCTTTATAACTTCATTAGACCATAAAGATTCTTGTTTTAGAAGACAAGCTTTTTAGCCAGATTCTAACTTTAGAAACGTATTTACTCTGAAAATCCTTAACCTCAGGATCATAGGCTGTAGTTACTGCTTAGAGTCTAACCGGGCGGTGCTGCCCTCGCCCTATGTCTGGTTCCCTCTGTCTCTAGGCATTGCCTCTTTAAACTATTTAACCTCTCTGAACCTCAGGTTTCTTATCTGTAAAAAGGAGGTCTAGAGAACTATTTAAAACTTCTTCCAGGTGTAATAGCCTGTGTCCGGACTCGATATTCCTCAACGATAGTGAACTTCTTCCCTCAAAGGTCAATACTGCCCACATCACTGAATTCAATGGCCCTTTTCAGTTCCAATCCTCTTTTAATCTTCCAGAAACACCTGACCTGTTGGGTACCAATTCCTTCAATTCCTTCTAGGAGAGCAGGTTGCTAAGTTGTCCTCTTGAAATTCTTTCCTCCTAGAGTTTTCACAACATACTCTTTGGGCTCTCCTCCCTCACGCAGTTTCACGATTTCGAGAATCAGATACACTCAAACTTTATCAAACCGATGAACACTATTAGGGATCCAAACTTACATAATATTCTGGTCTGTTATACAATCTCATGATGCATACAACTGCCTATGCTTTAAGGTAGAAGTGAATACAAAAAAAAAAAAAAAGAAGAATGCCATCATTTCAGTAAGAACTCATACAACAAATTTTAAAGGACTGTATAATACTTCTGTCTGTTGATGCTATAATACAATAATCTTTTTCTTTTTAAAGTTTATTTATTTTTTAGTAATCTCGTCACCTACTGTGGGGCTCAAACTCACGACCTTGAGACCGAGAGTCACATGCTTTTCCAACTAAGCCCGCCAGGTGTCCTTATAATACAATAATCTTAATCAAAGGTTAATAGACATTTACTAGTTCCCCCCAACTTTATTCTTACATTATAATCTTGATTAAAGATATGGTTTTTATAAAAAATAAAAGGTATACTCTATGTAAAAAGGTACAAACAGTTGAAAGTCACAATTAAATATGAAAGGTATATATAAGAGCTTAAATCTAGATTTACAATATTCTGGCAGACTTGGAAATATGACCTTGGGCAAGTAACTCTTCTACTAAGTCTTAGTTTGGTTGGTGAAAGGCGGATAATAGTATTATTCACCTCATAGGGTTGGGGAGAGTAAATGAAATAACACATACAAAGCAGTTAGCATATAGAAAGGACTCAATAAATGTTGGCTATTATTTGTAGCTATTATCTAGGAGGCTATATTATCTACAAATATTTCCATCTGTATCATCCTGAAACACTTTAGTCCTATTGCAGTTCAACCTATAGCAGTTTTTTTTTTTTAAACTAATCATGCACCCCTCTTGATCACTGTGAGCACTTCAACAACTCGTGAATGTTTCGGACCACTTGCACTAGCAGTTGTTCTTGCTATCCAGATGCAGCATGCTCATTTATTTTATTATTTGTAGGCCTATCATTTTAAGAGAAAACTTCAGTATTTTACTTCCTAACAGGGAGGGAAGAGAAACTGGCTACCTCGCCATACAATTGGCAGGTAGTCTCTTGTTATTATAATAAATTCATAATATAAATGGGTTTCTAATTTTTAAATACCAATTTTAGTTCAGGATAAAATTTTTATGTTTGAGATTACATACCCGATAGGGACTGTATTCCAGTATTAGATTTACGGCTTTTGCTGCTGTTTTTTTTTTTTGCATGATTTACCTTTATAACTACATTACCAAATGAAAAGTTTGAACACAGGAACAACGGTACTGGTCTGCTACAACATTTATAAATGTGTTACTGAGCAATCTGATGTGGTGAGGTGGGACGGAGGCTAGAAACATTGTGGATGGATGTTAGCGGTGCAGTAAGGGAGAGGCATAAAGGGGCCTGCTCTTGAAGCCCCTGAAAAGGATCCACCTTGGCAGCCCTTCCCATTTTGGGCCTCCTGCTCCGGGACATCCCATACCTCGGCACCCCAGTTCTCCTAAGATGAAGGCTCTTTGATAAATTCTCTCCATCTGCCTAAGGAATGAATACAAAGAAAAGAAATCGCAGAGTAACATGGCGGTGGGATGACGATGGCAGATGGACCAGGAGTGAGTACAGAGACCTCCAGCACAGGGACAGTCACGGACAAATTAAGGAGGGTGATATTTGCATAAATGTTCAGTCCAGGAAGCCTCTGACCCTTCAAAGTCAGTCCCTTTAGTCGGGTCTACACTTGATTTTTACAACGCTGCCCTGTACACAACTCATTTTTAGAACCTGTTCCTGAACTTTAGCACCTTCTCAATGTTTTTATCTTCCAGGGGTCAATTTTTATAAACAAATGCCATGAGAGGCCACGTGTGATAAAGCCCGCACCATCGCTGCCGGGTAAATACCAGCGGGCAACCATGCACACACCACCTAGACCACACCAAACCACAGATGCAGGCACATATTGACAAGGAGGGCTTTCTTGGGCTGTTCCAAAGCTGCCTCTGTGTGATTTCAAACATTTCCAACACAGTTACGGCAGAGGCTCCCAACTCATCACTTTGAAGGACAGTATTTATTCTGACGCCAAGAATTCTGACCTTTTGGGATGGAGGAGAAAATGAGAGGGAAAAGGAAGCCTTATTACTTTATGATTTTATCAAAGAGACGGACAGATGTGCTAGGTAGTTTTTTGGGTCAAAACCCAGAATACTTAAGAAATCGCCTCAAATTTCAATTTGGATGCCTGAGGGCTCCTGGGACCTTACCAGGGGGTCACGGGGAGAAGGTAGGTGGTTGGATTAATACGGTGTGCATAATAATTAGCTATTTATCATAAACTGAATCTCATTGAATTCTCTGAGTTAAAAAAAAGCCAACAACACAGCTAATGACCCAATAGAAGGGAAACGTTTTCTCCACTAACAGGCCCAAGGATCATTCAGCCTGGGGGGGAGGGGGGAACCCAACCAGGCTAGAGGCCGACAGTGCGGGTCAGAGCCAGGTCCCCGGGGTGACACGGGGGTGGGGGCGGGGCGAGTTCCTGGCGGCCCGGGGAGGGCGAGGCCGCACCTCTGCCCCCACCACCTCGGGGTCGCCGGGGTGACACCGGCGAGCTCCTGGGGCCAGGGCTGCCGCAGGGGGAGGCGATGCCCCGGCCTTCTGTTGGGGCGCATAGGTCTATGACGTCCCGGGGGCGGGCCCGGGATCCGGGCTGGGGATCGGGGCTGGAATCGGGGCTGGGATCGGGGCTGAGGATCGGGGCTGGGATCGGGGCTGGGGATCCGGGCTGGCATCCGGGGCTGGGGATCGGGGCTGGGGATCCGGGCTGGCATCCGGGGCTGGGGATCGGGGCTGGCATCCGGGGCTGGGGATCGGGGCTGGGATCGGGGCTGGGATCAGGGTTGGGATCAGGGCTGGGGATCGGGGCTGGAATCGGGGCTGGGATCGGGGCTGGGGATCGGGGCTGGGATCGGGGCTGGGATCAGGGCTGGGGATCGGGGCTGGGATCGGGGCTGAGGATCGGGGCTGGGATCGGGGCTGAGGATCGGGGCTGGGATCGGGGCTGGGATCCGGGCTGAGGATCGGGGCTGGGATCGGGGCTGGGATCCGGGCTGAGGATCGGGGCTGGGATCGGGGCTGGGGATCGGAGCTGGGATCGGGGCTGGGGATCCGGGCTGGCATCCGGGGCTGGGGATCGGGGCTGGCATCCGGGGCTGGGGATCGGGGCTGGGATCGGGGCTGGGATCAGGGCTGGGATCAGGGCTGGGGATCGGGGCTGGAATCGGGGCTGGGATCGGGGCTGGGATCGGGGCTGGGATCAGGGCTGGGATCAGGGCTGGGGATCGGGGCTGGGATCGGGGCTGAGGATCGGGGCTGGGATCGGGGCTGAGGATTGGGGCTGAGGATTGGGGCTGAGGATCGGGGCTGGGATCGGGGCTGGGATCCGGGCTGAGGATCGGGGCTGAGGATCGGGGCTGAGGATCGGGGCTGGGATCGGGGCTGGGATCCGGGCTGAGGATCGGGGCTGGGATCGGGGCTGGGATCCGGGCTGAGGATCGGGGCTGGGATCGGGGCTGGGGATCCGGGCTGGCATCCGGGGCTGGGGATCGGGGCTGGCATCCGGGGCTGGGGATCGGGGCTGGGATCCGGGCTGAGGATCGGGGCTGGGATCGGGGCTGGGATCCGGGCTGAGGATCGGGGCTGGGGATCGGGGCTGGCATCCAGGGCTGGAGATCGGGGCTGGCATCAGGGGCTGGGGATCGGGCTGGGATCCGGGCTGGGATCGGGGCTGGGGATCCGGGCTGGCATCCGGGGCTGGGGATCGGGGCTGGGATCGGGGCTGGCATCCGGGGCTGGGGATCGGGCTGGGATCCGGGCTGGGGATCGGGGCTGGGATCGGGGCTGGGATCGGGGCTGGGGATCCGGGCTGGCATCCGGGGCTGGGGATCGGGGCTGGCATCCGGGGCTGGGGATCGGGCTGGGATCCGGGCTGGGGATCGGGGCTGGGATCGGGGCTGGGGATCGGGGCTGGGATCGGGGCTGAGGATCGGGGCTGGGGATCCGAGCTGGGATCGGGGCTGAGGATCGGGACTGGGATCAGGGCTGGGATCGGGGCTGGGGATCGGGGCTGGGATCGGGGCTGGGGATCGGGGCTGGGGATCGGGGCTGGGATCGGGGCTGGAATCGGGGCTGGGATCGGGGCTGGGGATCGGGGCTGGGATCGGGGCTGGGGATCGGGGCCGAGGATCGGGACTGGGATCGGGGCCGGGGATCGGGGCTGGGGATCGGGGCCGGGGATCGGGGCCCGGGGCCGGGACCGGGGCTGGGACCGGGGCTGGGACCCGGCCCGAGCGCGGGCGGGCGGGCAGTGGGCCGGGGCGAGGAGCGGGCGCTACGAGGCCCGCCGCCCCCTCCCGCCTGTTAACCTGAGGGTCTCCTCCGCCGCGGCCCGGTCCCGCTCGGTGCCGAGGACGCCGCCGCCGCAGCCTCGGGGCCGTGCGGCCGCGCCCCGCCTCAGGGGGCCTGGTCGGCAAAACTTGGACTCGACCTCGTCCAGGAGCTCGTCCAGGCCCTCCGCCATCTTGGATCGTGACGTGTTCCCCCTTCGCGTCGCGGCGACGCCGGGCGGTTTCCAGGGGCAACGCGAGGCCACGCCGAGCCCCCCCCCCCGCGCCCGCGCATGCGCTCTCGGTGCCAGGGAGGCCCGGGCGTCCGAGGTCTCGGGGAGCTCGCGCGGCGGCGGGGCGCGGGGCGCGGGGGGCGGGGCGCGCGGGGCGTCCCCGGGGCGCGGGGCCGGAGCTGTCCGCTGCTGCGGGAGCCCGCGGCACTCTGCTTCCCCGCGCTGCAGGCCGCCGTGCTGCGCCCGGTCTCCCCCTCCCGGACCCAGGTCGTAACCGCAGTCCCGGGCTCCGGGCCTCCCTGGCGCGCTCCTCCTGTGGCCCGGCGGGGGGCCCCGGGCTGCGACCCCGCCGCTCACAAGTCCCTTAAACACGGCGCGGGAGGAGCGGGGGCGAAGTCCTCCAAGCGAAAGCCAGTGTCGGCTGCAAAAAAGTGAAAAGAGGCGCGGAGGGCGCCGCCGCCCCGTAGTCGGCAGGATTCGAACCTGCGCGGGGAGACCCCAATGGATTTCTAGTCCATCGCCTTAACCACTCGGCCACGACTACTGCTGCTGCCGGTTGCGGCGGCGAGAGGCCTATGTAGCGGCGCGGGCACGTGTCCGGGCGGGGCGGAGGCGGCGGCGGCGGCGGCGGCGGCGGGAGGCTCCCGAGCCCCGAGCGCGCTCCGAGCCCCGGCCCGGACGCCCGCCGCCGCCGCCCCGCCGCCGCCGCCGCCCCGCCGCCCCGGAGAGCGCGCCGCGTGCGCCCCGAGCCCTTCTCCGTCTCCATCCGGAAGACACGGAGTTGGTGCAGTCGGGCTTTCTCGGCGGGGCCGGCGCGGGGGCACAGAGCGCTCGCGGTCCCCGAGGTCCCCGAGGTCCCCGAGGTCCCCGAGGTCGCCGAGCCGCCAGCCCCGCCCCCCGCCCCGCCGTGCACCTGCCGCGGCGCGCCGGACCCCTCGTTCCGTGGACGCGGCGCTCGGACGCTCCCGCGACCCGGGTCACAGCTCCCGAGGCCCCACTCCGGGCGGCGTGCGGCGGGATGCGCGCGCTGCCCCCCTGAGAAGCCCCCTGGGGTGCCCCCTGAGATGATGCCCCCCTGAGGTGTTCCCCTGGGATGCCCCCCCTGGAATTCCCCCCTCGGGATGCCGCCCCCGGGGTGCCCCCCTGGGGTGCCCCCCTGAGATGCTCCCCTGGGATGGCCCCCTGGGATGACCCCCTGAGATGCTCCCCTGGGATGGCCCCCTGGGACGCTCCCCTGGGATGCCCCCATGGGATTGCCTCCATGGGATGGCCCCCTGGGATGCCCCCTAGCTGCCTGGGACGCTGCGCCCCGGCCTCCGAGCTGTGCCAGACCCCAAAGCGGCCCGCACCCTCGGAAACCCCAGCATTAGTTGAGCCAAGCAATGCAGCCGCTTCCCTGACCTGGCCTGCCGTGGGTGTGTTCGCAAGGTGTCGCCGGGGCCCAGGGCACCTGCTGCAGCCCGCCGTTTACATTTTTATGGATTTTGGGAGCCCCTTGTTAAAGGCGACCTTGAATTAAGTTACAAACAGTCCCCACTGAACTAATGACCTTAAAAAGCAAAAGGAACCCTCAAAATTCACCCTGGTCTAGCTACCTCGCCGCATTTTATTATAACGTATGGGGTCGAGGTCAGTTCTATCTCTTGTGTCTGGGACACTGTATGCACCAGGGCTTGTTAGGTGGATGTCTTCTTAACTTCCCACTCACGGATATCACTTGGGTACATGGGGATCCGCTAGCCTGGGTGATTTTACACCGGGAGATTGCGAATGCTCCACAACCTGGCTTTTTCTCCACTGGGGCAGGCCGCTCGGCATCTCTCAGCAGCTGCTCGTGGTACTGCCGTCAGGCCCACCCTGACTGTTCCCCGCAAGGCCACGCTCCCCTAACCTGTAGGGCGGCTCTGGTTATTTTATGCTCCCAGCAGCTTTGTCTTAGCCGTAAGAATCCCATCTGATTTTCTCCTTAACTTTTTAAGAGTTTATTTTCCCCCCTCCAAGGTGCCTTGTGAGGTGATTGTACTTGGAACCGGCCTGCGGCAGAAAGACAGGAGTAACCCGTGTGACGCTGAAGTTGCCCTTGCGGCGGGCTCCAGGGGGAGGAGCGCGTACTTGCCATCCAGTTTAAAGAGGCTTGAACGAATGCTTTGATTCTTCTCTAGAAATGAGGAAATCTTAGGTGGTGTGGCTGGTACTTGAGACACTCTTTCAGCCCGTGGTAGAGGATTTGCATGAAGGACTGAAAACTTAAAAGTGGAAATGCTTGTAGCTGTCTGGTTTGTTTGCATGACTATTAGAAGGTATTGGGGCTTCTTTCCTTCTTCTTCTACTCCCATCCTCATTTTAACAAAATCCCACGTAGAGATAGATCACCCAGGGGTCGGGGCTTAGAGAATCTCGCTTGCAGCGCACTCGACTCTCGGTTGGGTCTCTTGACGTGAGTGCTGGTGTCTCTCTGGTTTGCCTTAGAGAGAGAAAACAAATTCAGTGTCTACGAGGCGAAATGTCCCGTGTCACGTATGTGTGTGGCTGTGTGATAAGCTGTAAAATGATAGATAGTGGACTATTAAGGATCTCTGGGTGTCAGGAGTGATGCCAGGTGGGCTTCAGTGGACTGTCAACTGCATTAATGCAAATCGTATTAGAGGATTAAAAAAAAAGCAAAAAAAAAAAAAGCCATCATATAATCCTTTGGAATTTCCTTTTTTTTTTTTTTTGGAATTTCCTTTCTGTTTTCCAAAGTGAGGAATCTAACTTATTGTCTCTGTAGTTGTTAATGTGTGTAGACAGTGACGTAAATTCCTTGTCCCCTAAGTCTTCCACGGTTCTGGAAGGCGTGCCTGGGGTCAGGTGTTTCATAAAGGAGAAGAGCCAAGAGTGTGCAGATGATACAATTATCAGACATGGGAAAAGGAGCACGCCGTGCGTTAACTGCATCACTTAGCAATACTTTCTACGGAAGTATTTTAGGGAAAAGGTGTCCGGAATAAGAAAACAGAGGAGCTGAGGAACGCTCTGAGCCTGGTTCGTGCTCGCACCGTTCTCAGGGAGTTGGGGGCGCGCTCCAGCTGGGTCTGCGGCCGCGCAGCTCCGGCCAACCCCTTGGGTTACAAGGTGTTTTATGATCCTCCCGCTGTTCCCAGAATGAATCGCAAGGCCTCTTTAAATCCCCGTGTACTTGGGTTTAGCTTTCCCAGCCCTGCTTTCCTCCCACACAACCCAGACCTTCTAGCGTGAGCTCCCACCGCGGGCAGGGCCACTGGTGGGAGAGGAGGCGCCCTCCCAGAGCAATCGCCGGCCCCCCAGCAGCCCACGCTGTGGAAGAAACACAAGAGGCCGAGACCGCTCCGGGCCTTTTAAGTGGCCCCTCAGTTAGGCCTCGATGTCGTGTAGGTAAATTCAGTCCAGAACACGCAGAATCTTTATTGGAATTTGTGCATTCATCTCTCACAGCTGCGGAGAGTTTAGACTAATCACAGCCCTCCCTGGGACACTATCATCTTCGTAATTTGAAAAAGGATCAGGAGCCTGCAGGCTTGGAACGTCTTGAGAAAACACCGGCCCCGAAATACATCATCGCACGTGGGGGACCCCACTTGCAGCATCATTGCAGAGCGCTTAAGAATGCCGAAGTCGAGTCTTCCTCTGGCGGGATTTCAAATGGCCTGAGAGATCGGAGAGCGGCTTTTTTTTTTTTTTTTTTTTTTTTTAACTGCAAAACAGATTCTTTCCTCCTCCATCAGCCCAGTTGCTGTCAACGTGTCCGCTGGTAGGTGCCAGAAATGAGCACGGCGTCCTGCTGATAGCGCAGCGGCCGCGGGGCCCTGGGGACCCTGGGGACCCTGCTGGGGTGTGTTCCGACCCCCAGACACATTCGGCGGCGCCCCCTCCTCAGCCCTTCCGGCCTCACTGCATCTCTCCTCGGCGGCCTGGGTGAAAGCTGCCGCCTTCGGCCAGACCTTCTCCTGCTGCGGGGCCCCCAATGCTATTTTTCATTTGGCCCCACATGTTCGTGGGGCGGAGTGGGGTTCGAAGTGGGTGTTGGGGGAGCGGCCTCTGAGGGCCTGGTGAACTGCGCTCCTTTGCTCCACAGGCCGTCTTCACAGGTACACCCCGGGTGTGTGGCCCAGCTTTTGCCCCCATAGGTGTTTGCTGAGCCTCGGTCCCCCATAGGAGTTTGCTGAGCCTTGCCTCCCATAGGTGTTTGCTGAGCCTTGGTGCGGCAACCCCCGGACAGGTGGGCCTGTGGGGGCAAGGGTTACCGCGAGTGGCTCCAGCCCATCAGCCCTCTGTGGCCCAGTCGTCCGGCATCTCTTGGAGGCCTGAGCATCAGGAGGCGCCTCTCGACTGTCGGGCATCATGAGCGCAGCTCTCTCCTCTCCTTCCTCCTTGTCTCATATCAATCTTTGCCTCATGGTGTTCGACCTTCGGAAACTCAATCCTCACTCGAGACAAAGAAGGAAGGCTCGGTCGGAGAACTGCATGGGATGGGGAGCAGGGATCACATCAGGCGGTTGGAAGGTGACAGGGAGGCCCGAGGGCAGTCCGAGGTGCCTTGTGGCCTGGCCATGGGGTTCTCGCCCAGCAGCCTTCCGGCCCCGCAGCCCTATTGCCTTTTTGGGGGGAGCCGGGGTTGTAAGCAGACCAGCCTGCTCGGTCTTCTCAGTCACACCACCACACGTCAGCCAGCCTGTGGCTTTACAAAAAGATGCTTTTGGATTTCTGAAAATCCAGAAGCTCTCCACCTCCACAAAAAACAAACTCGTGGGAGGCCCTGAGGATAAAGCCAACGGAGCTCTCTCCCTCACCGTGAGCTGCCGGAGGAATACTTGCAGGCTGCAAAGGACTCTAGTGATTCTGTATAAAACTCTTCCATTCTACAGAAGGAGCAATCGAGGCAAGAGAATCGGAACAATATAGGAAGTCTAGGAGTATTGAGAGATTTTCACTGCGACCGGTACATCGTCTCAT